GACGGTCCCCGTCCTCCCAGCACTGCGGTGCCCCAGCTCTTCTTGGGGAGCAGCCGAGGGATGCCGGCTCAGCGCGCTCCGCCGGTTGCTCCCACAGCTCGTGGCCGAAAGGAGACCTTCGGGAGGAGACCAGCTCCCAGGGAATCCCCACGGGCATATTGCTGCCACCGCAGACCTGGGTCCGGGCCGTCCCCGAGGCACCTGTGCAGAGAGCAATGGGCATTGGATGGTTTCCAGCATGGTCATGCCTGGTGCGAAGGCCCCTGCTTTTTGGCAGCTTTAAACGCAGCAGTTGCTAACCCCAGAGGAAGGGGCTGTCCTTCCTTTGCCATTATTCGGAAGCCCGGGCTGAGATCAGTGAAGTTTGCAGCTCACTGAAAGTTGGTTGCTATAAACATTTCATCATTGTGACAAAAAAACAAACAAAACCACCCGTTGCACTGGCAGCTGAGTGTGGGTTAGCCCGAAAGCACTGGGCAGGGAAGCAGAAGAGGTTTTGGCAAAGGGCAAGAAACAGGAGGGGTTCCGAAACGGAACGGCTGCAGCCCCCCCGACTGTGTGGCTTTCTGCACAGCAGGATAAAGGTGCAAAGGACAGAAAGGTGGGGGGTACTCTCAGCCTGGCCAGTCCCCCAGGCAGCTGATTTATGCGGTGCATGGGTGTTTCTCCAGCCCGGGTGGGTGGGCTCTGTTTGGAAGCCGAATCCAAGCAGGAGGCAGGGAAGGCTGGTTGGGGCCATCCGGCCTGATCCTGCGCCTCCCGGTCTTGGCAGTGCCTGCTTTGGGTTAAAGTCCGCCCTGCCCGCGCCCAGGAGACGTGTCCCTCACCCGCAGCGGCCAAGGGCGACCGCTCACGCTGGAGGCCTTAAAGCAGTTTGCTGCTCTCGGCATCGCTCGTTAGGGCTGTTCTTAGCCAGAGGACGCGGAGGGGGACGTACCCCGCGAGCGTGGCCAGCGGGAGAGGGCAGATGCTCGGGTCTGGGTTAAAGTAGGGTGGGACAACTGTGGGTCTGGTTCACGGCA